TAAATAATGAAATACATGAGTTTTGGTCACTTTTTGCTTTTGAATCTCTTCTGTTGGCAATTAGTCTTTGTTTAGTTTCAAGGTTTAAGAGAAACAGCTCTCCAAGCATACAGTCTTGACAGGTTTTCAGCATCCTCACTTTATTTGGATTTAGCTACACAGTTGTGACATGATTACTTCTTCCAGTATGATGGACACTTAAAGACCCAACTGAGACCAAAGCTTTATTGTGCTAGGTCCTGGACAGAGAAATGGGCCCTGTCCTTCCAGATTGTATAGATAAGACAAAAGGTTGGAAGAGAAAGAGAGTGGCAGAAAAAATAATTGCTTTGGATTACACAGCAGTTTAAAGAGAAAGCCAGGCTCTCCGGGCTGCTGGACTGCTATCTGTGCTTTGCTTGGCACACACACCCCGCAAAGAAGAGCAACAAAAATTAGCTATTTGGGATAACTTTTATGCATCGCTTGAAGTGCGTGTTAAACTATGCTAATAATCCAGCTCCTTGCACTAAACACATTTATGAAATCAGATGTTCCTTTGTAAAGAACATGGGGAATTCAACAGTAGATTGACAAAGCAGCTCTGACGTATTTGTACTGTTGTGTGCTGGGGTACGTGCTGCATACTACATTACTTAGCATCAGTCCCAATCAGGAGCTGTCAAAACATACAGGAAGAGCAAGAAATTGGTACATCAAGAACAAAAATTTTGTTGTTTCATTTTGTGCTGCCCCTTCCAGCAAACATCATGTTTTTGTTTTCAGTCTTGCAAGACTAAAGAAGTAGAAGTGAAGCAGAATGAGCAACTGAAAAAACACATGGACACTTTTAAAAAGGGCTTTGATTTTAGAACACCACAGCTCTGAATGGGAACATGAGTGGAAACTATGATTTTGCAACTTGATCCTATTAGATAACCTGATCTGAGTGCATATGAAAGCCTAAGAAACTACTTCGTTCAGCACTACATTTCTGTGTTTCTGATTAAAAAATGTTTCTGCTGAATGAAGCAAGCTGCAAATTGGAAACTTTCCCAAAGCTTGAAGACATAAGGTAATAATACAGAAGTCCTGGAACATCTTTAGAAAAAGAAATAAGATATTTTTGTCCAGACCTTCAAATGTGAAGCTGATTGCCAAGTACAGCATTGTGAAATGCTGGAGTAAAGGTGGTATTAAGATACTTTAATAGTGTAGAGATGACATCTTGTCTAAGATTTCCACTTTAGGATTAATGTAAATTTCCTTAGTTGCAATCAATGCAAGAACTCTTAGGAACTGAGGGGCACAAGAAGTCACCACAGATCACAATCTCTCTTCTTTATATGGTGTGCATGCTCATCTAAATCATACAAGCACAGTAGAGCATTAAGCATCAAGTTAACATGTGCCACAGGCTTTCTCTTTCATCTTCTCACCAAACTTAAGAGCAGTTAAATGATCTCTACGTAGCTGGAGGATCCTTCTTCACCAGGCCTATTTCCCACAGCTGGCTGCAAAGGTTTCAAAGCCAGGCTGCAGTAAGGAATGAGGAACATGCTTTTACAAAGCCCAGATGTTATGTTGCTGAGAGTAATTCCTGCTGGTGGATGATCTGGGCATTATCAGACTCAGTGGTTGATATGGGAAGTGTGCTCCCGCTTTAGCAGATAAATTGTTCCTTGGAATTTTTTTTTTAAATGGTGTTAACAGAGAAATAGAAATTCGGCTAACCTAAATCTAAAACGGCTGTAATTTGTTATGTGTATTTTAATGGCACAGGTTCATTTTCAACTTGTGGATTAATTTCATGAATCACAGTTAGATAAGACTGCACCTTAACCTAAATTTGATAGGATCGCTTTATGTTCCTAAATTATTAATTTTGAAGTCATAAATTAATTCAATCATGTATAGATTTGGAGTACAAACCCTGAAAGCCATCATCATGCCTGTGCCTGGCACACTTGGATTGGAACAGGTGGGCTTAGAACTGGGAAGTGCTTCTCCAGTGGAGACTTTGTTAGCTCCCTGTCATCTGTAGTAAAAAATGTTTTCAAATCAATTTACCTCAGGGTACAATGTCCTGTAAAGACAAAACACTGTGTTCTGGCCTCTACTGAGATAGAAACATCATTTGGAAAGTAATTCATTTTTCACAAATGAAGCTATCTGTGCTCCACAAGAGAAATCTGATTACCTGGAACTTAGACATTATCATGTGTTCCGTCAGAACTAAGACCGAATTATATGCCTACGTCCCTGACTGCTCCATGAGGCCCCAGCCTTGGTTTCCTCCTAAAAATCGTATTTACATATTTTTAGTCATTGTGTTTTACCAGGTATTTTGCAGCTTCCCTTGGCAATAGCTGGAACATTTACATCATCTGGATTTACTAAAGACATATTTTACTCTTGATATATTCTGAACAGGCAGCTTTATGGGATAGGTTTGCACACCCTTCTGTGTCTGCCATTGTCCCCCACTGCTCTTTAGTCCAAAGAACTGCATCTGCCCCTATCATTTCTTATTGCATTCAGTCTTAATAGTTTTCCCTGAAGGTAATAAAACACTGCTGTGGTTTTCTAACATTTTCATAAGGAGTGTACCCCAAAGTGGCTTAGACAGTTCAACAACAACCAGCAGAAACATGTACAATTACTTTCTGGATGAGGCAGGAGGGGCATTTATTAACTGACCTTCAAAGAGAAGCCAGTAAGGTGGTAAAAAGTAGAACAGAAATTTGCTGTCACAGGAACTGTAGAAAAATTTCTAGCATCAAAAATGGGTGCAATTGTAGCCACTGATAGAGGGGAATTGTGTTGAACTAAAACAGGAACAGTGAAGAAGAAAGATACGAAAGGGTATAAAAACTGGAGCAGGTTCTAAGAGGATTAAAATAATTAGTGCACTTTTAGATTAGGTTATGAACTAAACGGGCTTTATAGAAAATATAAATGTGTATGTGAGATGCATACGGGGACCAATGACTTGAACAAATTTGCAAGCACTGTATTTTTTTCATTGGCATCATTTTCTTGCAGGTGAATTCCTTCTTGATATTTGTACTGATGATGCAAACAGTCTAACAGTCTAAACAGTCTAAAGCTAACAAAGTTGTTGCACTTCCACAATGACTACCTTTGATACCACAAAATAATTATTGCTTAGCTGCTTCTTCTGTAATGCTTTAACTCTCTAAAAAACAGACAGGAATCCCAACAACCTTAACTGCTGGGAGCTCTATTCCATTTTACCCAAAGATTGTCTGAGATACCCACCACAAATACAGAAGCCATTTGGGAAATGCACTGCAAGATGTTCTCAAAGTACATAACACTGTGATCTGATTATTGGCCTCTGGATTGCTGAGCTGCCAGGTACAAGCACACAGCCTAAGATTTACTGTAACAGTATGTCCTCATGCTGGCGGTATTTATAAATGCATTTGGGGTACCGACATTTTCCACTGCAGCAGCTGTGTGGAGAACTGGAAGTCATGAACAATTACTCCTAGCTGCATCATTTTGCAGATATGAAGGCTGACAAAAAAGCACCAAATTAAAAACACTGGAGAGGAAACAAAACCCTGATGTATCAGAATCGTTGGTGTTCTGTCGGGTACCAATTTGAACGCTAGTCCTCTGTGCATTTGCTTTCAGGAGCTGGTGTTTCTCAAGTTGGGCCTGAACTTTTATTTGCCTGCATTTGGAGTATTTTAGATTGGTTAGAAAGCATATATATATTGGTTACACCATATATAACCATATATATATATTGGTTTAGAAAGCACATATATATGCTTTCTTTGAAAAATACACTTTTTCCCCCTCTTTTCCCCGATAACTTTCTGACTTCCTGATCTCCCATGAATTTGTTTGCCCCATACAGTATACAAGTAGATTTTAACCTAATGAGCTGGAATACATTTGAACATAACCAGCTCTTCTTCCAGCTTTCAGTCATTTTCTCAGCCTGTTTTCTATGTATGGCTAGGCACTGGCATTCCATGGGTATTTTGCAACGTGCAGTTATTATGTCCAAAAAAAAATGACAGATCCTCTTCCTTGCACAGAGGTACCCCCAGCTCCTTTAACTTTTATATCGGGACACTATTGATTGTTTATGAAGATCAAATATAACAGCTCTTTTGAGTAGCCAGTAGCCACTCTCTCCTCAGGCATGCCCTTAGGACATTTGGATGAGGAAAAAGAGGTGCTGTTCAGACATGAGAAGTGACATCCCTTTACACAACGCCTCCATTTCTTGTGCAAATAGGTGAATATTATGACTCAAAACCCTATTTTTCTTAAGTAACAGGGTTTAGGCAGGTATATATCTCTTGCTTAAGAAAATTTGGTTTCCCAAAGGAATCAACAGTTCTGCTGGGAAGGCCCTGCCTGCACTTAAGCAGCCAGAGGCATGGTGTGTACACAGAGCTGCAGACCCTACCACAAAGTATCTAGTACCTCCACAAACCAAACCTAAGCATTTGTCTCCATAAATTTACCCAATGGTTTAAGTTTATTCAAAAAAAAAAAAAGAAAAAGCTTTCCCACCCTATCAGACTGAGTTCCTATCTTTCTCCATCAAAGGGTTGGGAGAAGCCCTTAATCCAGTCCTTCAGACCTATACAAGGTAGTACACAATAATTTATTTATTCACCTCCATACATTTTGTGTTACTAAACTGGGGTAAAGATGGATTGTTTTGGTTTGGAGTTGATGCCTAGAGGTAAGGAGGCTAAAGTGCCTCTCAAACACAGTGCCCTGGAGGTTTTTTTTGGAGTATTTCACCCAGACCTCATCCTTCTCTAACACTATTTAAATGAGCAGCAACAATAGCCTAGGAAGCATTTGTTTAGGTCTCAGACCCTTCCCAAATCTAACAGAAAAGAGAGTATTTTCATCCACCCAGGGCTTTCAGAAGCAGGAAGGCTGCTTTGCAGTAGACACTTCCCTTTGTTACCCAGGAGGGAGTTGCTTGTTACACAGTCATCAATCGTTTCTCCTCCTTTCAGACGAACAGAGCATTCTGCCTTGTAAAAAAGAAGAACTCCAGTGTGGTAACGGCCTCTGCCTCTCAAACTGGCTGCGCTGTCACTACAAGAAGGACTGTGGCAGAGACTACATGTCCATCAAGCTAACCTGCTCAAGTGAGTTACCCTGCACCTTCCCAAATTGTGACAATGTCCTATGAATGCAAATCCGTTTTCTCACTGAATCTGTCTTTGTAGCAATATGCTGTTCCACATAGGAGATTTGATCTGGTTTTGCTGTTGCAAGGATACAGATATTTAGAGCTTTACTTATGTCTAAATCATTTATGCTACATGCATTTCAAGTGGAATAGTAATCAAGTATCAGCGGTAGCGGGAAATGGAAGATTTGGTCCAGATCAAAATGCATTAAGCTAATGTATTGTGAAGGATACTGCTCTGAATTGCCAGTTGGGAAAATAAAATATAATAAAATAAAATAGAATAAGGCCTTAAAAGGCAGTAATCACTGCCGGAAACAATTAAACACTGGCGGCTCTACAGAGCAGTAGCTGCTGGCTGGGCACTCTGCCTTTGGAAATGTTGATGCGAATAAACAAACTGCCAGTGGATTAAAATTATACTTTGGGGGAGCAGAGGAGAGGTAAGAATTACTGTCAAGTCAGTGATATCCAGTGTATTTAAAGGAGTAACAGAGTAACCGCTGTAAACAGTGCAGATAGCTTTAGCCATTTGTTTCAGAAGACCGTTCTGTCAAACAGGTTGAAAGATGAGTTGGAGAATTTCTGATGAAGGAGCATGTTGTAATCTCAGCATAGCCATTTACTAGCAAACCTGGTGGTTTAACCATCTCAGCTTTTTCTGTTCCTACTTATTCTCATCACGTTTACTTGTTAATTTCAAGCTACAGCTTTAACTCTAAAATCTTCCTTTTAACATGCCCATTTTGTAGCTAGCAACATCCAAGAGCACAAATACTTTTAGACGCCTATTTCACGTGGCAAAAACTGGAGTGATCCCATACTGCTGTCACTGCTTGCCAGAAATATTTGTTGACTTTGGTTTTCGAGTTATCACAACATTGTACACAAAAGAGCACAGCCACAGGTCTGCAAAAAGACCACAAGTTACAATAGGGAAAGCAAAATGACAGCTACTGGCAGATGAAAGTAAACCCAAAACTGAGTTTCAGGAGCGAGCCCGGTACACCCATCCTCTAAGTGGTACTCAGATCCACAGAGGCAAGGCAGAGCTAAAGCAAAGTCAAAGCCTTTGAAACATGCACACCATAGACAGCAGGTCCTCGACTCCAAGTGTTTAGTCCCCAGAGCCGTGCCTGTCACAACCCACTACCTGGCTTACACTGGAGTTCAAACATTAATACTATAGAATTGCTTAAAACTATAGAATTGCTCACAGCCCATTAAATAGAGCAGGCTCTGGATCCACGGAGCATGGAAAGATCTGGGGTTTACAGACGAGAATACAGGAGAACTAACATGCCCAGGAGGACATGAGCTGAATTTAGGCAAGACCTCAGCTCTCCGTGCTTTAGTCATTAATCTGATCAGCAGAGATTAGAGCTAGACATGTTTTGTTTTGTTTCTGCGAGAACGTGTTGGGGAGTGGTGGTACAAGATTAGTAGGAACACCTCAGTTTTGATGATCTTATATATCTTCCTAGATCACATGAAAACCTTTTAACAACTTATATCTCACAGTAGTATTATTTTCTGCCCTTCCACAAAGGTGTGCATAAAATAGTGAGTGGCAACCGGCTCTTTTTAATATACAATAAATAAGTATTTTTTGAAATGCAAAGCTGTCAATTCAGTAGTAAAAAGCTACAACAGTGACAGCTGACAAAACAGAGTCAAATAGTCACACATTTGCTCTGAACACATTACAGTTTGAAGAGCTCAAAAAGACAAAACCAACAGATCATTTGCAATGGTTACAGAAGCGCACACAAATCAGAAACTGCCTAGAGGAGAAATTCATTATTTGGAATGGAAAGACTGATTTGCTGTTCACAGCTGAACTTGAGAGCAGAGTGTTATCCAGCAAGGCACTAACATCTGTCACTTCATCTATGCTTCACAGACACAGAAATGTTTCAGACAAGACGGGTGCCAAAGCACCTCTGTCGTGTGTTGATTTTGCTGAATAGCAGCAAGACCTGCTAAAAAATCAGCACCAACAGAAAATCTACACAGAAAGGCTGTGCAGTTAGATCTGCTTTTGTGGTTCTTTTCAGCCTCATACCGTCCAAAACAGCAGCGCTACCTAGTAAAGGAGGACAAGGCAGTGACAGAACTAGATAAAACTGAAAACCTGACAGGTTTCCATACACAGCAGCACTTGCAGTAAGAAACCTGAGCACGTGGCTGTGTGAGCACATGAAAATGAAGTGCTTGTGTACAAAAAAATCCCCTTGTGACTAAACTACAGATAACATTATATAATTTGTAAGATGACTGTGTACATTTAAATATTTCATTCCTATTTTCTTTCTTTCTATACATGTATAAGGTAGAGCCATTCCACTGGAATTGCTATTTCTAACTTGTTTTTTGTAATACTAACATCTAAACATTTAACCCACAAGACAGACCTTAGTTCACGCTAGCTCATCCTAGCACATTTTAGAATTTCCTGGCAGGAGCCATGCACCTGTGAAGCTCACTGAAAGCAGCACTCATTTAAAGCATTTTACCCTTGAGCTGCAAAGCTTCTGTGAAAGTATCAGGAAAACATTTTATATATTAGTTACCATTGTTCTTTCTCATCCCAAATTCGTTGTTTACTTTGCAGTTACATTAAATGTCTGGTAATAGATATTTTTCAAGATGGTCTCAACAAACACACTCCCAGTGAGAATTTTGGCCTGTTTATGAAAAGCAGTGCAGTTCACTCCCCAGGAGCTTCCAGACTTCTAAACAGACGCCTAACTTCAGATCATAACATCCAGAAGCATGTCATGTTGTGCCTAGTGCAGCTTTTCAGATCAAATAGGTTTTCCAGAGTCTACCTGTTAGAAATTTATTTGCCCAGCATTTTTCCATAAATGGAAAAACAAATGGCCAAGTTCCTCAGTTTGTTTTAGGTGCACACTGTGCATGTACATTCACTCCAGGGGATTTCAGATTTGTCAGAATCTAAGGGGAACGTGTGAGATCTAGCTCTTAAAACATTGGCAGTACATCAACCACAGGGGCAAACTAATGATAGAGCCAAAGGGAAATTACTTTCAAATCACCTCCTGCTCAGTGTGTCATTAATGCCTAACAATATTCTGGATTCACTTACATAGGCATTGCAAGTGAATAAAATAAGAACTTTTTGTCCTAGCATTCATGAAATCAGATAGAATAGTGTCTGTAGAGGGGGCTCCCTGTAACCAGTAACCACCACCATGTGGTCTCATTACTCATTCAGCATCGAAGGTTGCTTTGTAGAAACTATGCAGGTAAGCAGCACCTCAGAAATGGGAAGGGCAAAGAAAAAAGAGACCGCTCCCACTGCAGAACTCTCCAGATTGTGACTTGCCCAGTTCTAAGCAAATGGCAGAGACTGCAGCATATCCTGAGACAGTGAGAAAGATTCCAGAGGGCTTACACAGTGTGCTATTTATAAGGGAAAGACAGGCTGTAGTATTTTACACATCCTTTCAGAGCCAGGCACGTATGGGAAAAGCTCTGCAGCTAGCCACAGTGAAGTGAATTTTCGGGGACAGGAAGGAAATCAGGAAAATACTGTGTCCTCCAAATCATGAATCAGCATTTACTTAGATGAAAAGCGGACTTCTGACTGAGGCTACATTCCAGGGGAGATTTCCATCCTACATTTAGCACACTGCTACAAGATGGAAAACGTTTGTACTGTTGTCATCACAAACTATATTCTAGTTCACAACAAGTTCGCAGGATAAGCTCTCTTTAGAGGAGGGATTCTTTGTTCTTTTTGTAGCACCTCACACATCCAGCTTCCTCACCACATTACCATAATGTCTAGAAGACTTAAGTAAAGAACAGTACCAGTCTGCATGTTAAAGCAGAGGCCTGACATTTCTAAAAGGCTGTTTATGGCACTACAGTAAGCAACAGCAGCTTGATGAGCTCTGTGTGTGCATTCAGAGATGATTCTTAAACAGCCAAGAGTATATGCTTACCAACAGGTGATGTGTGCATTTGTATATATAAACATATTTCTGTAAAAGAGGTGACTTAACTTAAAAATAAAAAACACAATTATTCATTTCACACTGCAGGATTATAAATTCCCACAATTCTATTGATTTTTACCCTCCCTGTGTAGGTAGATTTTACCCTGTAGAGTTATTTCAGTGTTCAGAAACAAATAATTACTCTCTTAGCATACTCTGGGAGCTTAGTTTTAGCATTTAAGAGGCAAAACTGACACAGAAGTATTTCATTTAATGTGCAGCTACCATGAAATTTCAGGCTAATGGGAAAGAACTTGAACTATTTAAAGTGTATTTCAAGCCTGAATATATTTGCCTATATACTTCCTGTATCAGCCAAACAGAATCGCCACAAGAAACTGGATTCTTGCGTCCTTCTTCCTCTCTCTTTCTCCCCCTTTCTCTTTCTTGTGCTCCCTTTTCTTAAATTGACTGACAGTGATTTTTTTCCCATTAAATTCCCTTGACTCAGACGTAGAACCAGTGCTAAGTCATAACAAAAGCAGTGTACTGCATGTACTCCACAGAAACCGCCCTGAGAAGCAATGCATAGATTTGTTCCAGTTGAGAAAACAAGCTAATATTTCCCTTGCCATAAGAAGAAATCAAATGTATAATCTTTGCTCAAGGGTTAACCATGTATTTCTTCAGAAAATATGCTCAGCAAAATGGTGTTGACCTGTAACACTTAAGACGTACTTGTCTTTGCCTATTTTTCAGCTCCCAGTCCTTCAGCCAGCTTTATAGGATAGAAGCTCACTTGCATACCAATTTTTTATCTGCATTTTAGTGTCTCATACAACCTATCTGCTTTTTTAAGGCTCTATTATTTATCTAGACAGATTTCGAACTCATGAGAAAATAGTTTTAAAGGATAAAATTCTGCTTCAGATTTAAACATAAGTTTTCATTGGAAACAAGGAATTTTTCCCACTGAAGCTAAAGATCATCA